CTTGGGGCTACTTTTATTCATTACTATTTCTCATACAATCCAGTAGAGGCCATGTGTCAACTTAATTGTGTTCTCCTCATGGTTCTACATTCTTGGACATAGACAAGGACTTATTTACAATTTCTAGCAATGGTGATTTAATACAAATAAAAGATCCGACTTTCTACAAGAAAACCAAGGCTATCAGTAACCCTGCTTGGCCCATTTTGTATCATTAAATATCTTCATTATGGTATTTTTAGTTAATTAGTTAGTAATTACGATTTTACACAACTACACACTCTTATTTTGAACCTGTATTCCACCACAGTATATCACAGAAAAATTGGTTGGCATTTTTTTTTACCTTACTAAACCTTAGTTTCTGCATGTGCAAAATTAGGACAATAATAGTGTCTATATTATCTAGCTAGTGTGAGAACTAAATATGATAACCTATGAAGCACCTGGTTTACTACCTAGCATATTACAAGACTATATAATGCTAATTAGCTTCAGATACCCTCAGCTATGACTTATCTAAATATCATTACCATGTTAATTATGTCTAATTCTCACTTAAAAGGCTTCTCCTAGTCTACTTAATTAGTTCATTCTCCACTGATCTAATCCTGCTACTCTCTCCAAATATTGTCCTTTACTTTACTCACTGGACAGCCTACACAACTCTTTCATTAAAAATTGCTTTTCCCCTCTGTACCCAGTTCCTACTTGCTCACTAAATACCAACGACTTTGATTCTTCTTATTTATTTATTTTTTTTTGGCATGGTCCATTTACATAAGATTTCTTACAACCTTATAAATCCACAAAACAATTGCCCTCCTGATTGTGAGAATATAGTCATGATGGCTCACACATGTAATGTCAGTTCTCAGGATATGGAGGAAAGAAGATTGCCATGAGTCCCATACCAACCTGGCCTACACAATGGGTTATAGGTTGTCCTGGGCTACAAGTGAGATCTTACCTCAAAAACAATACTAAACAATAGGAAACAAGTGAAGATAGTATATTATGGTTTGAGGAGAAGGGAATATAATATACATATATATATAATATACATATATATATGTGATTGATGGATAGATGTATTTATGTATGTATATATATGTATGTACTAAAGCTTAAACTAACCAGAGTGTCTCATCATAAATAATGGATTTGATTGCCTTTTGTTTTAAGTATTGCTTTAAGTCCTTTGTAAACACAGGAAAAAGAAGTAATTTCCCCCATGGCTATCCTTAGGAATCACTGAAGAGGAACAACAGATTACCATTAGCATAAAACAAAGCACTAACTCTTTCAAGATCTTCAGATCTTCTCAGAAGGATCTAAGTTCTCCTTATTTTTACTTCCATCATGCTTGCTTATAAGCATTTTTTGACATTTGGAATGAGTTGTAAAGAGTTAGTGGTAAACCTAGAAAACATACAGAAATAATTTTGTGGGGAAGAGTAGAAAGTATAGGGAACAAAAGTTTTCTTTCTGAAATTTAAATTCAAGAATCTCAAGCAAAGCTTCCAAATCTACAGTTGTATCTTGCTTCTTGTTTCAGGAAAATCTCAGAGTGGAAAAACAAATGCATATGAGGAGAGAGGTTATAAAATTCAGATTACATAAGAAATGAGAAGAAGATACATTAAAGGAAAACGTAAGCCTTTGACATTTTTATGGAACATTTTCAAACTGTACGTGGTATGCAGTCAAAACCTAATGTGTGTGTGTGTGTGCGTGCATGTGTGTGTACATCAAAATATGAAGCAAAAATCAAATATATTTATTAAGGAAAGAGAGGCCATGAACTTGAAAGAGGGCATAGCACACACATAGGACAGATTGGAGGGAGGGAAAAAAGAGGAAAAATAATGCAATTAGGTTAATTTTAAAACCTCAAATCATGTATTATTATTATTTACAATGCTAATGTTATTTGCTTAAAGATAGAACTAAGTAGTGTGGAGAATGCAAGACACCTAGGAAAGACATCCAGGAAAGAGTAACAAATGACAACAGGAGGCAGGCTAGAACTCCTGAATAAAGAAATTTTGAGGCAAGAGAAAGATCCTCTTGAATGTTTGCCTAAGCTGCATAGAAGGTGGGTTCATGGGTGATGGTGAAGAGACACAAAGAGAAAAAGAATCTGAAGTAATTGTAATACTATTACAAAATAAATACCCAAGGGTAAGCATATGTAGACAGAGACAAATTCAAAATGCGAAATAAAATCTCCAACTTCTTGCAAAGCATAGACTGCAAAACAGCAAAGTGAACCATCAGACAATGGCATCAGGGTTCAAGTTTGGATGACTGGATCAACAGTATCTATTTTAATGCAAAATGAGGACAGAGAATGCTGGACTGAAGACATTTCTGACATGGTCAGAGATATGTTCTTTCAAACCAGATTATAAAACTTCTTAGTTCAATGAATAGCTGCATACTCCACATAAATGTGTTTTTAATGACAGCCATTTATTGTGGTTACTATCCAGGATTTGCTTCTCTTAGAAATGGAACCCATAATTTTTAGATGGGCACATAGCTGCTTAGAATAAACACTGCATTTTTCAGTTTCTCCCACAGCTAGGTAAGGCTGTGGAACTATAAGTAGGCCAATGGGCTATGATAAAACCTTAATGAAATGGGCTATGTATTTTTACTAGAGTGGAACTCTTATAATCCACTTAGGACAGAGAGTTGGAGGCTGGTATTGGAGGGTGATAGGCAAAATGGAGAGGTTGCCGTTCTCTGGCAATGTTCTGATCTCACCACACATCTCCAGCTTTCTCCACCATGTTTCCTGTTGCCCAGTACTAGTGTGGTATTGAGTTTTCCTGCCACATTCAACCAAGCCTAACTCTGCTTAATATAACTACCTTGATCATTCCTGCTATTTTCCTTGGTTCTTCAATTTAAAATATTGTAAACATATTTCTTTATGATGCATAGAAATATTTCAGTATGCTGCCAAAGCATTCTCCATATTTCTTTGAAAATTCATTTTTAATCTGTTAAGCTGTTAATAGCAAAATGATTCCTACAAGCATATTTATTCCCACAACTTTTCATGCCATTGACTTTAATTGAAATATCAGATTGTGGGGCTGGTGAGATGGCTCAGCAGTTAAGAGCACCAGCTGCTCTTCCAAAGGATCCAGGTTCAATTCCTAGCATCCACATGACAGTTCACAACAGTCTGTAATTCCGGTGCCAGGGGATCTGACACCCTCACACAGACATACATGGAGGAATAATACCAATGTACATAAAATAAAAAAATAAAATAAAATATCAGATACTTGATTAACACTTGTGATCTACTCAAATTCTATTGAAAAGAGTTACAGTGGCCATGTCTGAAATTAAGGTCCTTTAGCAAAGTAGAAGTTTGAGGGAACACATGAGGTGACAGTCATGTTCCACAGAGAAAATTTCTACCTATCTACACATTTATTTATAATCTATGTATCTATCTCTCTACCTATTTATTATATACCTATCATATGCCTACCTATTATCAATCATTTAGCTATCATCTAATTTTCTTTTGAATCCAGAAAAGTAACTGGGTGAGCATAAAATATAATAGAGTTGTGTGGTATTCACTTTAAGATATTTCCATAAAGTTAAAAAAATTCTACTTTATTAATACCTTATACTTCTCTAAAGTTATTCTGACTTTTTCATCTTGCATGTTGGAATAATAATGTTATATGTTATGTATATAATTAAACACAGATTGACAAATATAGACACTGTAGCTATTTTTACAGACAAGACACACACATACACACACTAAAGTAAATGAGTTAGGTGGTATCTAAAGGTTTTATGAAGAAAGCTAGAGCTGGACCATGTTTAAAAACCTGAACAGGAGAAGATAGACTAAATAGACACTTAGGTAAAAGGGCTAGCTTCTGTTGCATTTATTGACTTAGTTCGTGTATATAAACCATCCTCAATTGCTTTTTATTAATTTGTGTATAAGTAAGTAATGTACCATTATTTCTTAGCAAGTCAGAGATGAGATGGTGAACTTGGAAATCTTTAGAAAGTCCAATGCCATGTTTAATACTTCACTGAAAGTGATACGTATGAAGGTTTTGACTAGTGGTTCTCAATCTTCCTAATGCTGTGACCCTTTAATACCGTTCTTCACGTTTGGTGACCCCTGACCATAAGATTATTTTCGATGCTTACTTCATAATTGTAATTTTGCTACTGTTATGAATCATAATATAAATCTCTGTGTTTTCCCATGGTCTTAGGTGATCCCTGTGGAAGGGTCATTCGATCCCCTGAAGTGCCACCACCCACAGGTTGAGAACCAATGGTTTAGATGGATTCCCAGCAAAGGGCCTCAGCTGCAGGGCTGTGCTAACACTCTGCCTCAGGAGCAAACGATTGAAGAAGGCTCAGCAATCAAGAGCTCACAAAATATCAGAAAGTGAATGGCTGAAAAGTGATATCAGCAATAAGAAAAACAGCAGGGTTTCATTTTGCAAACAGAAATCCAGACAAATTTGCAGTAAGAGGGACAGCGCTTCATTTTTCTTCACGTTACAATAAATTAAGCAGCAAGCACACAAACCCTCAAAGAATGACATTTCTAGAGAAGTAGTGGCATAGGCATGGGGTTTTACAAAGAGATCTCCTTTTACAGGTAATATATATGAAAGCAGGCTCCCTTTTTCTTAGCTCTGTGCTTAGTTATGAGTGTCAATGAAAGCAATATTTGGAATGACTATATTAACAAGTAATTAACCACTCCATCAATAAGAATGCTGGTTATTGTGTATGCATAATCAGAGTTCTGTTCATGACTTTTGCAACTACAGGATAAAATACAGCTTGCAAGGTAAATGCATGGGCTCTCATTATTCTACTTCTACTTATACCAGCATTCTGTTAAGAGTCACCATCTCACAAAGTTATAGTGCACCTGAAAATAAATTTTTCTTTGAGCTTCTAAGTTTGCATGACCTTCTGCTACTAACCTTGCTGTCTTCGCTCTCCTTGGCTGTTCCCTCCAGGGCTTTCTTCTCTCCAAACTCACAGGTTGATTTTAATGTGAGCTGACAAGAAAGCATTGAGCACTCCGGTGTAGCAAATTCCAAAGGTCTTGAAGAACAGTGCCGTGATACACCAATGCCAAGATTCGGTATCGGAAGAGCAGTGTGAACAGGCTTTGACCCAACAGCTGGCTGTCTCAGTTTTGAAGCAACCCCAAGGACAGGCATGGCTTCTATAAAAGTACCTTCTTGTTGCCAAAGAAAATGCTCCTAACCTCAGTCTGGTAGACTCCAGCTTTAGTATTTCCAGAAAAGAGGACAGACACACACACACACACACACACACACACAGAGAGAGAGAGAGAGAGAGAGAGAGAGAGAGAGAGAGGGAGTCTTTATGCAAAACTAGCAGTCATCTAGACTTTAAAAAAGAAAGAAAAACAGACAATAACTTTCAAGCTAACTTTCAAGAAGAGAAAAACTTTTCTCACATTCTCATTCTTTCTCTCTCTCCTGTTCAATAACTTAGTGTCTGCAAAATAAATTTTACAAAGCCCTTTCTTTAAGATTCTAGAGTTCCTACTTTTGTCTTCTTCTCACTGCAGCAGCCTGAGTTTGATCTTTGAGAAGAGAGAGGTCCAGGTGGGGGTGGGGGGAGGAGGGAAGAGAGGAAAATCCCTTCAGTTTAATTGTCAAAGAAGCCAAAAGACCACAATGGTGGAAGGCTAGGAGTTCTTCCTGAATTCAGAAATAACCATCCTGCATTCTCTTTCTAAAGCGGAAAAAAAAAAAAAAAAAAAAAAAAAAAAAAAAAAAAAAAAAAAAAAAAGAGCAGGTCAATGTCCAAAACAAACAGCTGTTGGAAGAACTTTTAGCCCGGAAACAATTTCAGCAATGAAGCTGTTTGTCTAATTTCCAGCTATTTTTCACTCTTGACAGCCAGGAGTCATGGTGTTCATTCTGCTTCATCCCATGAAATCAGGCTAAACTGGAGTAACAGGACAGCCAGCTAAAGCAGCTGAAGCCTTCAGCAGACCTTGCCTGCTTATGTTACAAACTGCAGTAAACACAGGAAGCCAGGCATTAGATGCATGATTTCTAAATACAATTATGGCATTCCCATTCCCAGGACATCAGTGTCCCACACAACAGTTAAGGGGCTAAGCATGTCAGGCATTAGTGTAAGTAACCTCTGGAATCACATGAAACACATCACATACTTATTGTCTATACTTTGTAAAATAAATGTGGCAGAGTAGCAACTAAAATACCAAGATTAACATGAAAGAAGCCAGTGTGCAGAATACTGGATAATCTTTCCTACCTGGAGCACATGGGACAAAAACAAATCAAAACTGGAGAGGTCTGCCTTCTGTTAATGTCCTATGAGGGGCTCTTGCTTCCTTTTACTAGATCACTCTTTTCTTGAGATTCTTTCTTAATAAGCCATCTGTATTTCTATATGTAATAGTACCCTGGGACACAAGAGCCTGGAATCAGGAAACTTCTGAACCCAGTTCATTCTCAATTCTTTAATTCTTATTATTATTATTATCACAATTTATTCACTTGGTATCCCAGCTGTAGCCCAAGGACATCTCCACAACCATGTTTGTAGCAGCTTTATTTGTAATAGCCAGAACCTGGAAACAACCCAGATGCCCCTCAGTTGAGGAATGGATACAGAAATTATGGTACATCTACACAATGGAATATTACTCAGCAATAAAAAACAAGGAAATCATGAAATTTGCAGGCAAATGGTGGAAACGAGAAAAGATCATCCTGAGTGAGGTATCCCAGAAACAGAAAGACACACAGGGTATATACTCACTCATAAGTGGATATTAGACATATAATATAGGATAAACATACTAAAATCTGTACACCTAAGAAAGCTAATCAAGAAGTGGGACTCTGGCTATGATGATCATTCCCTACTCAGAAAGGCAAAGAGGATGGGCATCAGGAGAGGTTAGGGAACAGGACAGGAGCCTAACACAGAGGGCCTCTGAAAGGCTTTACCCTGCAGGGTATCGAGGCAGATGCTGAGACTCATAGCCAAACTTTGGGCAGAGCACAGGGAATCTTATGAAAGAAGTGGGAGATAATAAGACCTGGAGAAGACAGGAGCTCCACAGGACAGCAGCAGATCCAAAATGTCTGGGCACATTTCTGAGACTGATACTCCAACCAAGGACCACTCATGGAGATGGCCTGGAATCCCAGCACAGAGGTAGCTCATGGCAGTTCAGTGGCCAAGTGGGTTCCATAATAATGGGTACAGGGACTGTCTCTGACATAAACTGATTGGCCTGCTCTTTGTTCACCCCCTCCTGAGGGGAAAGTAGCCTTACCAGGCCACAGAGGAAGACAATGCAGCCACTCCTGATGAAACCTGATAGATTAGGATCAGAGGGAAGGGGAGGAGGACCTCCCTTATCAGTGGACTGGGGGAGGGGCATGGGTAAGGAAGAGGGAGGGAGGGTGAGATTCAGAGGGGAGGAGGGAGGTACAGGGGGGATACAAAGTAAATAAACTGTAATTAAAAAAAAAATAGCTTTTCAAACTTTAGCCACCTGGAAGTTTTGCATTTCTAAAATGATTCCAAATCTATTGATACAATTATAAAATCGACAATTTGTAAAATTTCTCTATTATAATCATATCAGATTCCATTTTGTTAAATATATGCAATGAGTAGTGCTAAGAAAACATGAATTATACAGGAATTATTGTCCTAAATTCAATACAGGAAACTGCCCATTGGTTAGTAGAAGAGCATGTGTGAATTACATCATTGAGAATTTAGTAGTAGTTTCTACCAATAAGACAAACTTTATTTTGTATCTTTCATAAATTTATTGAAGAATTCCTTTTTTTTGCGGTTAAATTGGTAGACAATTTCATACATGTATATTATACATTCTCTTTGGTCACACTCCCCAGTTCCTTTCCCCCTCTCACCACCTTCAAGCCCTCTCCTTTTCCTACAAGTTATCACATTCATGTCTTCATGGAGGTTTGTTTTCTTTGGGGGAGGGGCTGGTTGATTTTTTTCCCAGCTGAGTTTAATCAGGCCATTGGGGGTTAACAGATATTGAAAGCAATAACTTTTCCTCTCCTAGAATCTACCAGCATTTCATAGTTGAACAGTAAGAGATAAGGCTTCCTTGGTCTCTTCTCAATCCATATCTAACTTTCGAGGCATCCCTCTTATACAGACCCAGTATAGGCGACTGCAGCTACTGAGTTCATGACTGCAATGTCTGTATTACGTGTAGAAGATAGCACTTTGCAGCCATTTTCTCTCTCTCTCTCTCTCTCTCTCTCTCTCTCTCTCTCGGCATTTATATTCTTTCTGCCCATTCTTCACAGAGTTCCCTTGGCCTTTCAACAGTGGTATCAATGGATTGCTTCGTCAGGATGCCTCAACTATCTCTTATTAGTATTTTGTCAGACATAAGTTTCTGTATTCATTACTATTAAAGAGAAAAAGTCTTTAACTAAGACAGAGAGTAGCATTTATCTATAGATATAAACATTTAGTACATTTAGAAGGCAATTTTATAATATCTCAATTTAGCCACAAAAATAAAATTAGAAAGTTTGCATTTAGGTCCTATGATCTCACCAACCTTAGATTTTTGACTGAGGTTACAATCCCAGGCATGAATTTCCTCCTGTGTAAGACCCGGAATTCAATCAGAGAGCTGTAGTTATCCCCATGGCAGTCTTACCACTACAGCACAGGTGGACATATCTTGCCTGATAAGCTGATATTCTACTTGTAGAACTGACATCTGAGCAAGGCCTTTGATGACCTTTTTCTCTACATAGCAACCTTGGGAACTAAGAAACTTAGTCTGTATGGAGGAAGTGTCTAGCTTATTTTCAGCTTCATTCTTCTGTATCTTGCAATGAAGATTTGTGATGTTATCTTAGCAATAGGGTCTAGTTCTGACAGGCAAGAACCTGTATTGTTTTGAGGCCTCTGGGGTCTCCCTAACCAAAAATGGAGGTACCCTGCATGTTGCATTGGGATTTTTTTTATCTAGGAATCTGTTGCATCTAGGAGAAGCACTCTCTAGCCATAGAGGGTATCTCCCTTTAAAGTTGATTTTTTTTTTAATTACAATTTGATTACTATACAAAGTGCTACCTTTCCATATGGCTTTTTAAAACACCATCCTTCATTTGCCTACTCTATTTACAATGACTAGACAATGGAATCAACCCACCTGTCCATCAACTGATAAAAGGATATTAAAATGTGGTATATCTACACAGTCAAATTTTATTCAGTTGTAAAGAAATAAAATTATAAAAATTTCAGATAAATAGAAGTGGAAAAAGTAATTGAGTTAAAACAGGGCTAGGGAGCCTAGAAACACATGTTCTCTCTTCTCTCTCACATGTGAATAATCCTAGCTACAAATATTTGATTTTGCGTGGAATACCTATGGAAGCCAGATACCTGGAAAGGGGTCATTGGTACATACTTGAAGGGAAAAGGGGCACTAGACTACAGATGATATGATAGAGGGGAATACTGGGGTTAGGGAAAGAGTGAATGAATTGATGAGAGAGGGTTAACACTTAAGAATGTTTAAAGATAGATTTCATTCTTAATATTTTTACTTTTTTAGAAAATTGATATTCTATTTATCAAATAGAATCAAAATTGAAATTACAAAGAGTTTCAAGAAAAATAATTGCATATTTAATATAAACATGAACTTGAATGTTGTCAAGTAGCATAATCATGATTGTGCTTTGATTACACTAAATGTTTATCTATACTTAATTAATAATATCCTTAATTGAAGGCTTAATGTAATATACAATCTTGTTTTGCAATTAGCCTATTTATTAACTTTCTACAAAATAATATTTTTGCCTACTCTTTCTAGTATCATAAATTATTATTTTTAATGGAGAAATAGTTTACATGTGAAAGAGCCAATAGGTTAAATAAGACATGTATCTTCTTGCTGATGAATCATGGAAGAAATTTGAACACAAGTCAGAGTTCTTGAACAATTTTTTAAAAAGTACATCAGTTCAGTTAGCTTTGTAACATGGGAAAATAAGAAACTCTCACTATTTGTGATCGAGAAATGAAACAATCTCTTGGAGAAAGTACTTTATAATTTACAGAACACCTAACAAATTGTAAAATCTGGAAACTAATATGTTCATGTTCTCACCATGGTATTAAGGTGATA